GGAGGCAAACTAGCAGAACGTGCAGGCCTAGAAGTCAGACGAAGTGATCCTAAGAGACTACAGTGACCTGATCCAAGTGCTGTCAACTGAAAAAAACAAAAAAAAAAAAGAGAGAGAGAGAAAGATTCCTCATAGCAGAGCATGGCAGACTACTTTAGTATTCTTTCCTGCGGAATCCCCAAGGCCAGAGAAGACTGGTGGGCTTACAGTTCATCGGGTGGCAACAAGTTGGAGACAATTGAGAAACTAATCAGCAACAGAGACACATTACTGACAGAAAGTCTGAAGATACCAGAAATGCATGAGAAAATTCTCAGCCTAGACTAAGTTAAAGAAAATGCCTAGATAGTAGAGCTGAATTATTTTAAAAAGTAGACACTAGAGCTGAATTATAAAATGTTTTAGGCAATAAAATATCTTCCAACAGTGTTGCAAACTATTGTTTGTTGCAAGCAGTGTGTTCCACACAAGGGAGAGGAAAAAATTTTAATACCCCCTCAAAAGAAAATCGTTCTAGTCACAGTAGTAAACTAATTAAATAAAATGTCCAGAAAATGAACATAGTATAAAACCTATTGACCATTCTATATCTAATTAAGACTGTAAAATTAAAAGGGAATTTTCAAAAATCTGCAAAAATGCAATTTAAGCAGCCCCAATGACTGTAACTTTTCTGTTTATTTTGTTTTACTTTTTCCACAGTTTGAAAGTAACTGAAAACTAAGCATGAATTTCACTTTAAAATATAGTTTTCAAATTCAACAGAATACTTCATGTTCCAAGTACAATAAGATTTTGTATGTTTCAAGCTTAAAAAGTTTGTACCCATCAGTTAATACTTTGTTTCACTGATTCAGCCGTAAATAAAAGTACATTGTGTGCTTTTCCCTTGACAATGTTAGTTGCATCACTGTGTTTCAAATAAATACCTTGAACGAGGAGTGTGCAATAGTACAGTCCCTCAGGGACTGCAGGCTATGCAGCAAGTGGTCTCAAGGCCTTCCCCATTAATGATGATCTGTAGAATGGAGCAGGGGTAACCATGGCAGCTTGTGATGGCAACAACTGTTTAACAGGGACTTCTCTTAATTACCTCCCTTATAGGAGACAAAGACATTTTAAAGATAAGTACTAAAACATTTGTCACACACACACACATATAAACATATATACACATATGTGTGTGTATTTATTTATATGTATATATATATATACAAAAATTTTGTTCCTAGTGAATAATAAATAAAATATTAAAATCTGACATAAATGGCAACACACTGTTAAAGACTAAGACAACAAAATTTGAATTTGAAGAGGAAACATAATTACTGACATTATTTTAGAATACTGGAGTATGGAGATGTTAATACAAACAGAACCAGGTTTTACTTGGTTTTATTCTTGTAAGAAAACTCCTTCTGTGCAATGCCCCCACAACCCACCCCAGCATTGCCTGCACTGGATGTGAGCTACTGCCCTGATCCATCTGTGGATGGCCACTGCTCCTATTCTAAACTCCTTAGTTTAAAAGGGCCTAAGCAAGAATGCTTTTGTGACTTCCAAAAACCGCCATTACTTTCCCTCCTTTCTTCCCTGCTACCTCCCCTTTTCTGTCCTATTCTTTCTTATTATACCACTGATACAATTTGCTTTCCAATTAGAGTTATTACAAAATACTGGCAACATTCCCCATTTGTAAACTACATCCTTGAACTCAGCGTACATGTAAGTTTGTGCCTTACACTCCACCACCTCTGTATTTCTCCTTCCTCTCCCCTCATTCACTGTTAAATAGACAATGTTCTATATATCTGTGAGCCTCTATTTTCATTATATTCTCCACTTTGTAGGGTTTTAAGACTTTGCAAGTGATACTGTACAGTACTTGTCTTTCTTATTTTATTTAGTATTATACTTTTCATATTGCTGCAACTGGTATTAATTTCATTCTTTGTATGGCTGAGTAACATTCCATAGGTCTTCCTTGGTGGCTCAGTGGGAAAGAATCTGCCTCTCAAGGAGGATATGAGGGCTCAAAACCTAGGTAATGAAGATCCCTTGGAAAAGAAAATGGCAACCCACTGGGCTATTCTTGCCTGGAAAATTCCATGAACAGGGGAGGCTGGAGAGGGTAGAGTCCATAGGGTCCCCAAGAGTGGGAAATGCCTTAGTGACTGAAGAAAAACCCGTGTTCCTTTGTACACATACACCACATCTTTATTCATTTATCTGTCTCTCATCTAATGGATATTTAGGTTAATTACACGCTGGTGAATGGTGTGCTTCAGGGAGCTTTGGGACACATGTGCTTTTATGATTAAATATATACAAATCCAATATATATATATATCCAATAATGAAAGTGTTAGGTCATGTGTTGTTCCGTCTTAGCTTTTTGAGAAATCGCTATACAAAGTGTGCACATTGCTTCTTGACTATGGAGTATCTTTCAGTAAGCAAGTTTGAGTTTTTAATGCTGTCAGTTGCTGACATCATATCTGGAGGTATAATAATCACTACTATGAGGTAGATGCCCTAGGGGCAACTACTTTGTTGCTTTTTAGCAAACAGCATTGCTACCCCCACCCCATGACACAGCACTCCAGCTACCTTCCCAACCCTGTACTCACATACAGAAAAACCACATCCTCTTCCTCTTCTCCCATGAGAAGTATATCTTAGTGCTTCAGTCTGGACACAGCTCTGCCCCATACTTTCTAGCTCCCTGGACCTACTAGTCCCCTCTCCAACTGCACAGGAACCATCTCCCTCTCTCTTCACAAACTTATCCTTTCTCTGTCCTTTCTGCCCAAAGCAGAAAGCTCAGAGACACAGATAATTGCACATCAGCTTGATATTATTGAAATGTCGTTATTAATGTATGCTGTTGGTAGAAGATTCAATGTCGTTCCTGTTGGCCACTTTTCAGCTGTGAGACCCCCAAAGAATTCTGAGTTCTCTAACCATGATCTGAAGTCACTGGCTATGTATTTGTCCAGCAGGAATGGCAGGGGTCTCCAGGATCTCTGGGGCCTCTTCCAGTTTGTAGTGATTTAGCTCTTCATTCACCATGGAATGCTGGCTACAGAGCTTTGAGCCTGTGATTTTCTTAAGAGTCTCTGAGGTGGGAGCTTTTTGAGAATCTTTCTTGGTCAGCTTTGACTGAATGTGCTTATTTATATTTACCCTCACACTTACCCTGGTGCCCTGGAGAAAACAAGAGAAGGAGCAAAGAATGACATTGGTTTGGGGAAGAGGGTAGTTATGGTTGGAACTGATGACTTCAGCAGAGGGAGTGTGACCAAGAGGGGGCATGTGCAAGACAAGGAAAGGGGAGTGTGTCTATGGGGCGGTGTCAATGGGCAAGTTGAGAGTGGGTGGGTTCACTCACCTTGACACTCCTTTTGGACCTCAGTTGATAGAAGTTCTTCATCTTTTCATCCCTGATAAGGAGTCGGCTGTTTCCTTATTGCGCTAGAGCCTTTTGGCTTCCCAGTCACCTAAGTCACTTAGTGTTGTGTGTGTTTGTGTGTGTGTGTGTGTGTATGTGTAAGAAATATGTCTTATTTAACCAGTTTTCACAGCTTAATAATTATTCTATAAAAACTTTACATATTGTATAGTTTATATACAGTTCAAACTATGGGAAAATAAATAGCATGTCCCACAGATGGAAAAATACTGCACCAACCAATCCAAGTAAAGGCATATTTTCACTCTGCAAGTTCTCAGCAAGCTGCGAGGTGGTCGGTTCTCAGAACCTTAAAAATTGTCCAAGTGAGACATTTTTATTTTATTAATCACAGACTGATTTTATTTCACTCTCCATACATTCCGCATGATTGCAAGGTCAGAAACATACCAGGGGACAGGCTTCTGGAATTGTCCCCACCCCAGCAGGAATGTGCACATCTATTGACACAGGGCACTCTCAGACAGCATCCTGTACTTGGTATATTGTGTAGACATGAAAGCAGAGACCAAGAACATGAAATGTCAATATAATATGGTAGTTATCTTAAAAAGGAGTTTCTGCATTTGATAGTGTGCCAAAAGAATTTTAAGTTATTAAATAAAATATGTTCTAAGTGAACCTAAAAGTTACACTTTAGAAGCATAAAAATACTTTTTATTTTTGGTGTAATACGTTGATCATATCTGCAAAGAGAAAACCAAAACTCTATATAAAGTAGCAGTTCTCACCCAACATCAAAAAGCACTCATGTAGTTACTTTTCAAAAGTGTCAGAAAAACTAATTATAAACCTGCCAAGTTTAGCTGATAACTTAAGATACCATACTGAAGCTAGTCAGTGATTCACTAATATTGCAAAACAAGCTTCCCCCTAGAGAGAGTGGATTGTTCCTGTTAACTGGGAAAGAATCAAACATTTAAAAAGAGGGAACAATCAGCTGATATCTCAGTTTGGATCCCAGGTGTATTTTACTTCAGGGGTATGTCCATTAGTGGGTGTTTAACCAGAAGTACTCATCCTAAAAGATAAGTCTTCCATTTGGGTTAGAATTTTTGATCGCTGAGGCTTGGAGCCTCTTAGAGATAAGGGCACATCTCACATCTTTCCATATTTTGATTTGGGGTGGGGATATCGAGGCTGGCTAACACCTCTTTCTTTGTTTCCAGAAGGAAAAAACAAGGGAAATCAAACATCCTTTCAGAATTTTCTGGCACCCGAACCAAGAAGACACACCTTTTTTTTTTAGACAGTACTAGCTGAAGATACAAAAATTAGAGCCTCAAAGAGCAGCCCAGAGTTCAACATTATAGTTTTACACTCGTGTGTGTATTAAGCATAAAATAATGACATTTGGAAAGAGGAGTTTTGCAGTTATTTATTTTGAAGTTACAGGACTTCAAAACTCCTTGGCAATAAATAGCTTGGCTGTCTCAAATCCTGCTTCTCAGCGGGAGCTGCGGGCCAGCCTGGCCAGGGCTGTGAGGTCCAGTGCAGTGCAGCCCGGTTAGGTTGGTTGGCCCGGCCATCACAACTCATCAGTCTTCCTCTGCAGGTATTTGAGCATGGAGCCCATGCCCTGCGCCGAGCCCCAGATCTTCTTTAGCACCTCGAACTCCCGCTCGTTGACCTGCTCCAGCTCCAACCTCATGTTGCAGTGCCCAAGGGTCTTGGATTCCTCCAGCACGACGGTGTTGCAAGAGGTGAGCTCCTTGATGCAGTCCATGACGTCTTGGGTGAAAGTCCCAGGCCAGAACACCCGGGAGACCAGCCCTTTGATGCACGCCTCCTGTGCCGTTAGCTTCTGCACGCAGAGCAGCATTTCATTGGCAGATGCTCCTCCCATAATCTTGGGGAACATGACCGTGGAACAGCCATCTGGACTGTGTCCGAAGGTGGTTTAGGGCATCTGGAACCACGCCTTTTCGTTGGCCCAGACCAGATCACAAAGAGGCAGGATGGATGCTCCTAGCCCAATGGCCAGGCCATTCACAGCTACAATAATAGGCTTCATGAACTGGATGAAGGTGTTCACGAAGCTTCTGATGGCCTCAGCTATCCTGGCACTCTCCCTCTTGTGGTCGTCTGTCAGGCTCCGGATGAAGTAAACTAAGTCCAGGCCGCAGCAGAAGACGCTGCCCATGGCGCTGAGAAGCACCAGCTTGCTGCCGTCGGCCCCGGCCATGCTCAGCACGCTCTGCAGCTCCTTCATGAACTCCGGGTTCAGCGAGTTGTTCTCAGAGGACTTGGTGGACAGCAGGATGTGGGTGAAGCCATCCTGCTTCCGGACCATGATGTCCCGGTACCTGGAGGCCCTCTCCGTCTGCCGCACGTGCAAGCGCAGCAGCTTGTCAAAAGGCTGGTCTTGCCTGCCCTCGATGAACTTCCTCTTCCTGGCCGTTATGCCCGTGGCTGACGTTTGCAGCGAGGTCATCCCATTAGCCATCAAGGCACCCATGAACGGGGAGATGCCTTTCCCGTTCACGGCCAGCCCCGTGGTCATAGCCGCCGATGCGGGGCCAACACCTGCTGCACCAGTGGGTGTACCCACAGGCATCTCCCCATCCAGGCCCGCACCACCACCTGGCCCAGATGGGCCCCTACCTGGCTTCTCGGCCACAACCTCCCTGGCCGCTGTGTCCTCCAGTCCCTGCTCCACGGGGTCTAGCTTCTCGGGGCTCTCGTCCTGAAAGCCGTGCACCCCGGTGCTGCCCTGGATGGGGCCCTTGGGCACGAGGATCCTGATATCAGACTTGGCCAGGTCCATGTTCTTGCAGGTGGCCATGCCCGGCATGGGGCTCTTCCTGAACTTCTGGCTGGCAGTAACCAGCAGGCTGCTCTTGGCCTCCTGCTCCTTGCCCACCACTAGGGCCTTGGAGGCAGCCTTGGAGAAGCTGCTGCTGGTGGATCTGGAGATCCGCTTCTGGCCATTGTTTGCGGAGGTCTGGTTGGCTCTGGAGAAGGTGCCCTCCTTCTGCTTCTAACTGTGGCACTGGTTGAAGTCATGGATGCACTTCTCGCAGTTCACCAGGTGCTGCTCTGGCTCCCAGGTGGCATCCTCCCTGCCATAGCCTTTCCACTGAACCAAATAATCCGTCTTCCCTTTGTTGCTTTTCCTCTTATCAAGGATCCTTTCAACCTCGTACAGATCCTCAGAGGCCATGGTGTGTGGCATGAGGCAGGGCCACAAAGGCCACCTTATTCATTTTGAAGACTCCCAGGGGTCTGCTCCAGAGCCACTGAGCATGCCTATACATAGGGGACCACACACTTATGATTATGACGTCAGTCACTTCCCCAGCCAATGGCAGCCCTCCACAAGCCTTGGCATCACAAAGCCTCATCCTGAAAACTCTGAGGGTGGATGAGGAGCAGCTCAGATGATTTGGTGGGAGAAATGAGGCATTTTTTATGATCCTAAAGAGAACGCCAACCTCACCTGCGATCCTCATCTCTCTGAGTCAACACAGATTGGTCACATGGCAAGGAGAATGTGTGTCCTCCAAACCGAGCCTCACAGCCCGTTTTCAACCTTTTATTCAATTCTCTCTCATGTTACATTATTATCAACTTTTAGTCATCTTCCTGAAATCCCTCCATGATAACTCGGCTGTGGAAATGAGAATGATTTCACTTTTGTCCTACAACTGGTCTTAATGAACCTTGAAAGCCATTCAATTCTGGGCCACTTATGAGAAACCTTTTCCATCCCACCTCCTTTTCTCAGTCTTCATCTAGCTCTCCTCAGTTTTCTAGTCCCCAGTCTGAAACCCCTGTCCTCAAGCTGTGAGAATGCACTGAATACATCCAATTGCTCTTGCTCCACTTGGCACTGTCTCGTTTCAACTCGAGGACTAATGGTCACCTTCCTAGGTGTAATAGCCAGGCTTCCTTTTAACATGGTGTTGTGGATGAGGCAGATAAATGCATGCCCTGTGTTGTGCTGGATGACCCAAGAAGGAAATGACCACCTGTGGCTGATTAGCATTCCCAGGAAGGAAGGGGTGGGGCTTGCCCAGTGGTGTGTGAGCCTCATGTGCAAAGGTCTTCTCAACATGCACCCTCACAAATTTCTCACCCTGTGTTCCTGCCAGAACTTCCTTTGTGTTTTACCTCACAATTGAGACCATGGTGGAATTCATTTCCATGAATAGCTACCACAAGCTTCCAGCTTCTTGGAGGAAACACTGAGTAAATCATGCCTACCCATCTAGCTCCTAAGTTCTCTCTTTCAGGTTGTTGGCTCTGGAGGATAGGGGGATGAGTTGTGTGCTTCACCACAGTCCGTGTTCCTAATTGACTAGCAGGTTCAGCCAACCTGAGATGTACCCCTGGGAGACAGTTTTTATTGATTTTGTGGTATTTCCACTGGTTTCCATGAAGTGCTGTCTTCCTGGTGTCCTCTGGTTGCTTACTCACCTAGGACACACATGAATGTTCATAGCAGTCTTATTTCTAATAGTCAAAATTTGAGAAACGGAGATGGTGGAGGTGGAGGTGTACAGGGAGTACATCTCTGTCCAAGTGTCCATCAGGAACACACCTTCAGACACAAGTGCTTGAAGAACCTCAGCAGAGAGCAGACAGGACTGCATGAACAGAGGAAATAAAAATGGAACCATAAAAAAATCAGTACGATGAAGGAATTAGGGGGTAAACATGAGTGTTAGCAGGACTAGGACTGGACCTGCCCTCAGAGGGTGGGAGACCTGAAGTAGGTGTCCAATCTCCACATGGGAGCAACTGTCTGGATCAGAGGAGAAACACTTCAGGCTGAGAGTCAAACAGTTGATCTGTGGCAGCCTAAATGGAATGAGAATGAGACAGTCCTTTTCACAGCCATTCACACCCCAGAGAGGGACACAGGTCCTTTAGAAGGTGCCACAGGTTCATAGAGATTGTGGAGAAATCCCTGCCCATGCTCTGCTGTCTACTGGTTAGAGACAAATTGATGGAGTGTTCAGATGAAGAGATTGTGTGGGAAAAGCTTGTGGAGGTAAGCCAGGCAGCCATGGAAGGAAGGTGACACCGCTGAGTCATGTATAGGGGATGGAGCCATCACCCTAGCCTCTCGCTCCCCACATGCCTTCATCACAACTGAATAATAGAGAGGCTGGTTCATCAAGGACTTGAATCACTGAACTACTGAGTAAGACTCCACCAAGGGTGCTCCTTTAAATGACTGGTGCTCCAAACTACAGAATAGGACCCCAGCCTGGGGGGGGGGGGGCATCCTCTATTTGCCTGGCACACTCAACGACAGAGAAGGACCCCAGACCAGAGAACTCTCTAAGTGCCTGAATGCATGGAACTATGAGAAATACTAGGCAAAGAGGCCTTCTGATTGCCAGCTGTGATAGGCTCAAAGAAATATTCTGATAGGGCCATAATTCCTGCAGTGGAGGCAGTCCAAGTCCCTGGACACTTGGCACTGTCAGGGTCTCCACAAGCCAACCAGCTGTGTTGCCTTCATGCTCAACACTCACTCAGGGAGAACTGCCACTGCTAAAGAGTCTTGCATCTGTGCTTTCAGGGTCTCTTCAGTAGTGTCAGACACTTTTCTACCTTGTAGACTGTGGCAGGACTCTCTATCTAGGAGGGGGTTCTCCATGCGAGAATACTAGAGCGTCTTGGCCAACACTGATCACCGTACCCTTCTAGAGCACTATATTACCTGCTGTCCTAATCGCCAAAACCCTGAGTGGCTGGTGATGTCAGAACCCCTGTGACCCAAGCAGCCGCACCATCTCCATACCTGGCCCTCATATGGGCAAACACAAAGCCTCCAGGGCCACCTCAGGAGCAAATCTCAGTGGACAAACCACATGCAGAGATGGAAATAAAATCACAGTTGAAACCCAGTGGCAGTGCAGGTAAGGAAGAAGACCCAGAACCTGCCAACCAGGTGTACAAACTGCAGATTAAATCCACACTATCAACTAGGAATACTGTGTCTATGGAATATATAAAAGATCATTGGCAGCTCCTATAAACAAACAAACAAATGAACAACAACAAAAGAAAAAAAAAGGACATATCTAAGTAGGCATTTTTTTTCCCCAGAAGAAGTCATACATATGGCCAACAGACGCAGGAAAAGATGCTCAACACCACTAGCTCTTAGAGAAATGCAAATCAAAACTACAACAAGGTACTATTTCACACCACTCAAAATAAGCCATCATCAAACAATAATTTGAAGACATTGTGGTGAAAAGGGAACCCTCATACACTGTCAGTGGGCATGAAAATTGGCACTACCATGATGGTGAACAATATTGAAGCTACTTAGTAAAACTGTAATCACCATATGACCTACTCCTAGGCATACGACCTACTCCATTCAGTTTTACTTATTGTTGTTGCTATATATTCCATTAAATATTATCCATAGATGTCACTGACAAATAAAAACAGTTTAATTCTTCTTTCACAAGCTGCATAACTTCTCTATCATTTTCTAAAATTTTATGGAGAAAAATTCAATATAATGAGAATGGACATCTTTTTGTTAATTCTGATCTTAGAAGTAAAATTCTCATTGTTTATCACTGAAGTGTCATGTTAACTATACTGTTTATTAGCTTCATTAGGTTGAGGAAGTTTTCTGTTTCTAGTTTGCTAAGAGTTTTCTTTTCATTTTTTCCTTTTCTTTTCTTTTCTTTTTTTTTTTTTTTTTCTATTTTTACAGAATGTGCTCAGTCAATCAGTTGTGCACAGCTGTTTGTAACCTCATGGAGAATAAGCCTAAGGGGCTCCTCTGGTCTTGGGGATTCTCCAGCCAAGAATACTTCAGTGGGATGCCATGCCTTTCTCCAGAGGATATTCCCAACATAGGAACAGAAATTAGATTTCATGAAAGTATTTTTCACCATCTATCGAGATAAGCCTACTGTGTTTCATTTTTAGTTTTTAGTAAGTTGAATTATGCTGTTTGAGTTTCAAATGGTTAATCAATGCTGGATTCTTCAGGGGACAAAGATCAATAGATTATGCTGTGCCATACTTTGTATGTACTGGTGTAAGCTGTGCTTCATTCTGAACACTTTCTACTGCTACCTGTACAAGTGCACAATTTTCTCCTATTGCCCTGTATAATCTGTTATTTATTATATGCATGTGTTTGCCATCTGACTCTGTAGTTTTCATATCTACAATATGAAAGTGTGTCCATTTGATGATTTTCCTGTCTCTACTTAAATTTACAACATAACAAATTCAGTTATTTGAAGTTTTTTAATGTTCTGTTTGCAATTTTGGAAATCTATGCCACTTATGGATCAGTTTGATTTCTTAAGGGAATTTTAATATGATTTTTCTTACCTTAGTGAGATTAAATATATTTTCAATGTCGTTAGTGTCTAGTTCCATACCTCTCTTGTCAATTGGCTGATTATGTCTTTTAAAAATCGCTTAACAAAGTGAGCAGCGAATTGTAAAGATGTAGCACTGTTGACTCATGTCCTTTTCACATTTTTCTGTCATGTTTTAGGTTCTTTGTTCTAAAAATTTTAAGAGTTACCCTTTGTGTTAACTTATGGTGTGCTTTGTTCTAGCTCATAAACTTTTAAGCAGTGTGATACATCCTGTGTGAATAAGCAACCAGTGGACACCAGGATGTAAGCATTTCACAGGAAACCCAGGAAGTCCCACTAAGACAAAAAACTGAGTCCCCAGGGAGCACACCTCAGTCTGGCAGACCCTGCTTATCAATTAGGAACACAAGAACTCTGGTGAAGCAAGCAGCTCATTCCCTTTTCCTCCAGAGCAAACACAACAATGAGAGGATTTGGGAGCTAGATGGATAGGACATGAATATTTAGTATTTCCTCCAAGAAGCAGGAAGTTTGTGGTATTTATCCATGAAAATGAATTCCACCATGGCCTCCTCTTCCAATTGAGGTGCCAGCAGGAAAACATGATGAGAAAGGAGGTTTGTAAGGGCACGTGTTGAGAAGACCTTTGCAAGTGAGATGCACACACCTCTGGGCAAGTTTCAACCCTTCCTGTGGATACTAATGAATTGCAGGTGGTCATTTGCTTCTTGGGATCACCCAGCACAATTTGAATCATGTATTTATCTGCATAAACCACATCGCCATGTTAAAACACAAGCCTGTGTACTACACCATGAGTCCTAGACTTGAAGTAAGACAACTCCAAGTAGAGCAAAGGCAAGTGTATTTAGTGCAGTCTCACAGCCTGAAGACAGGGGTTTCAGACGGGAAAGTAGAAAACTGAGGAGAGTTATGTCAACACTGAGCAAAGAAGGTGGGATGGAAAAAGTTTCTGGTAGATGGCCCCAAATTAGGTGGTCTTTAACGTGCTTTAATAGCACCTTATGGGAGAAAAGTGGAATGATTCTCATTTCCACAGACACTTCAACACAACCAAATTATCATGGACGTATTTTCAGTTCAGTCACACAGTCATGGCCGACTCTGTGACCCCATGAATCGCAGCATTCCAGGCCTCCCTATCCATCACAAATTCCCGGAGTTTCCTCAAACTCATGCCCATCGAGTCGGTGATGCCATCCAGCAATCTCATCCTCTGTCGTCCCCCTCTCCTCCTGCCCCCAATCCCTCCCAGCAACAGGGTCTTCTCCAATGAGTCAGCTCTTCGCATGAGGTGGCCAAAGTATTGGAGTTTCAGCTTCAGCATCAGTCCTTCCAATGAACATCCAGAACGGATCTCCTTTAGGATGGACTGGTTGGATCTCCTCACAGTCCAAGGGACTCTCAAGAGTCTTCTCCAACACCACAGTTCAAAAGCATCACTGTTTCAGTGCTCAGCATTCTTCACAGTCCAACTCTCACATCCATACTTAACCACTTGAAAAACCATAGCCTTGACTAGAAGGATCTTTGTTGGCAAAGTAATGTCTCTGCTTTTTAATGTGCCATCTACGTTGGTCATCACTTTCCTTCCAAAGAGTAAGCGTCTTATAATTTCATGGCTGCATTCACCATCTGCAGTGATTTTGGAGTCCCCAAAAGTAAAGTCTGACACTGTTTCCACTGTCTCCCCATCTATTTCTCATGAGGTAATGGGACC